AATGACATTTTACGAATTGCATCTAATGTATCCTCTTGTGTTAATGATTCAAAAAATGAACTAAATACAATATTATTTTTACATGCATAACGATGAGCAATAATATCAATAAATTGATTAGTATCAATTAGATCAAGATAATTTTTTAATATGATTTCAAACATATTAACAACATCTAAAGGATTATAAAATTTTCGATTGACTAATCGACAAAAAATCTGATTGAGATCATTTAAGACGTGTTCAGGTGACAATATTTTATTATTATTACCAAAATTTATTAATGATTGTCGTAATTGTTCAAATAATTGATAAATTTGTTGAATAGTTTCATTTATTATTTTTTCATTATTTTCAATAACTAATATAAAAGAAAAAAAAAAGTATATAGATTAAGTAAAATACATTTAAAAATATGAAATTATTTGAAAGATTTCATATGGTACTGAGAAAAATTTTTGCTCAAAAATTAAATCTATAATTAATTATATATATTCACTAATTTATTACTTACTTGTACTAATATTTGGTTCGATCAAATAATTCATCATGTTTAAAATTGACTTGAAAATGATAAAAGTGTAAAATTTATATTTCTGCTGATATTAATAGTAATAAAAGTAATAGATAAGAAAACGTATTTATTCTCGAATGTTCTTCTTACTAGTGTAGTCATCTTTTATCACAATAAACAGAACTGAGTTATCCTACTATATATAATGTTGATCATATTTTCTTTTATAAATTAATATTCTCTCAATGAACAATTTCTCCTTCGAATCTTATTCTGTATGAGAGATAAATGTCTAAAAATTCTTCTGCAAGTAGTCCATAGATAATGTAAGTAACATCAATACCAAAATGGCTCAAGTTAGAACGAAGTTATAATGGGTGACATTTACGATCATTGTGAATCTTGTAATTCGAGAACAGATAAACTTTTTGAGTTGTTCAACCCTTCATTTTGTAGCTCTACATTATAACTATTTCTGATATTATCGAAGTTCATCAAGTTTATTGATGAATTAGATCATTTTTATTGAAAACATGGATATACAAAAGAATTCTAGAATGCCATTGAACGGTCAATAGCTAAGCGATAGTTTGATGGATTAATCTAAAATATTTATTGCATTTCTCTAAAAATTGACGTAATGAATTAGATTCAATACGTTCCGAAGTTTGCCCATTGTTGACTACAAGAAGTATTCAAATTAATTTCGATTAAACTATTCAATTAGAACAATTGTTAATTGCTGTTGTCACTGTGATACTCCTGTTTACTACGATCAGTGCGGCTGTACCTAGTCGGAGCAATTCAAGTTGTTGCAGTCCGAACGTAACATCGATCTTCTTAACGAACACTTTATTTATTTTCTCCTTTGGTATTGTTGCAGTCTTGTTCATGAAACTAAAAGTAACAAATTCATCAACTATAATTAATCTGCTTCGGCTCTTTCTCGTCTATAATGGTCACTATCTTTGTCATCTTAGTATATGTAAGTATTACAGTTTCCAATAAAGATACCTACAATTACATTCTAATGGTGACATCATATATTTTCAAGTTTATTGAATGTTACAGAATATCCATTATTGTTACTCGTTTTGTTCATATTATAATTAGTTGACATGTGTCTGCATGTTTTCTTTTGATTATCGTTTAATTTTCAATTTGTTTACTACCTTGCTATATCTTCTCTTCCGTTTTGTTTCACAACAAGGAGAAGTGATGATCTGTGCTCGACCTACGTTACTAATGATATACAAATAGAATGTGTGAAAAAGCGGATTATATTCTCTACTAGTCAAGAAAAACAAATATTTTTTCATGCGAGAATGATTGCCATCTTATTGATGGCTGACGTTATGATCCTAGATGATGTGCATCTTATTTCAAAAGTTTGAACATTATGGATACGCTTTACTGAGTCTGCCTAGGAGATCGAGGTACTTATCATAGGTGCGCTTCTCTGACACTCGCCAATGATGGATGTATACGGGTAAGAGAATTGCCGCATTTCATAAACATTTAACATTTCTAAGAAAACGACCTATTGGTATTCATGCGAATGCAATCCAGCATCAATGATACGTAATGACTGGCATTATAAGGGTGTGGGTGTGGGAGTAAAGCTGCAACTTCCCTTCACCCACACTCATCCTTTTCTTGATCGAATGGATATTATTTGAATGGTTTATCAAATCACAGTATTTATCAAAACCTCTTCATAATTGGTTTTTAATGAAAGACACAAAGCCTTCTTCAAATATTTTCATAAAAAGAATTAAACAAAGGAAAGTCGATCTCAGACATCAACTATCATTAGCAAGATACATAAGAGATAGAGATAGAAACTGTTGATCACATTCTATCGTGAAAATAACGTGTAAGTAAGATTCGAGACTTGTTTTTGTCAAAGAAACCTTATACATATTGACCTATTTTCTAGTCTTCATCGTTCTCCTCTGTGTCTTCTTGACAACATCGACAATAAATGATAATGTGATCCAATACCGTGCTCTGACTACAGTGCAACAGGTGGCGAACAAATTCGGCAAACATATGATTCATATTGCTCGTTCTCTTGGTTCGATGATGACCTATGCTTGTACCGACTAAATGATGGTTTGTCTAGCCAATGAACTCTTATGCAGTGTTCTACTACACTGTCAATATCGAAGATGCAGTCACTCTCACTCCCAAGAATCTAAATCAGGATTTGTATTTATTAAAATTCTCAATGACAGGAATTAACGAATAATTTTATTTGATGTTACAAAACAAAAATGATCTAATAAGAGAAAGTCACATTTGATCATTTTACATCGTGCATTAGTAAGTTATCACGAAAAATATATATTTCAATAGTTAAAAACAATGAGAATTTGAAATGATATTTGTTATTATCATATGAGTTATAGATGTAAATAGTTTTTAACGTAAATCATCAAGGAATGCTCTGTACATAATGACAAATAACCTCAAATCTTGACTTTTTTACATTATGCAATCACAAGAATTTTAAAAAAAAGGTGCAGTGAACTAACTATACTAGCATGTACGCTACGGTTAGTACTTCATCAAACTATTCTCTGATATACTGGTGAATTTTGCATTCATGAGAAATGTTGATCACAATATATGACTTGTTCATTATAACTCACTATAGAGTAATTATTGGGTGTAACTTTATCTATCAATAGAAGTATTTTGAACATTATTAGAGAGATCCTAGATATATATATTCAATGTGAATTGAACCAGTGTCTAATCATTACATTATGATATCAAACTGTATACCAGAACATAGAATTTTTTTACAGTTTGTTGTTATTTTTTGCAAAATTTCGTATAGGATTAATTCGTACAGGAATGATTAGATATAATAATGTTCAGAATCTACTAACTTAGTACTATATACATAAACATAAAATTCCAATTATTGTTTATAGTTATAGAAAAAAAAAGTCGATGTTCCAAAATGATTAAAAAAATTATAGACAAAATGGTGGAATATTATTGTTTCAAGAAGCCATGATGCGAATTGAAAGTCCCTTGTTGTCAAAAATCTTAGGATGGTAAGGCCTTTAATCCTTGAAAGTTTTGGTTTGGTCAACGAATGCTATCATAAATGTGGAAGATTTTCAGTAAAAATATTCATAACTATATTTAATTATGAGATTCAATATAATCAATTTTAATAATTTTTTTAACAAATAAATAGGGGGCGGCTTCAATAAAATATTCAAATAAAGTTTATTTTTACTAAAAAATCTTCATTTTCATAATGTTATAACGTAGAACAATATCGTTCTATTTATTTAGATAAAAGGTGACTTCGCTCAGATAATAAATATTATTCTTATCTCGCACTTTCTTTTTATTATTAGTAAACGTCAAAATACTAACCGTATACTTTCATCACAATAAAAAATGGCAAGTTATTCAGTGATATCAAAACTATCTGTCAGAAAAACAGTTGAACAAACAAATTCTCCAGGTGAGTACTAAATCATATTGAACATAACTTAACAAAATCTTATATCGTTAAGACGATCTAAAAAGTTTATTTGTCATGAAGGATGCAATTTTAAAAACTTTACGAGGACAAAAAATAGCATCTATACTACATCCTTGCCGATATCATATTACTGACGACGGAACTTGTAATCCACCGTTTGAACTCATATTGGATATGTAAGAAGGTCTTGTTAAGACTAGAAAAACTCAAAAAAGGTTCGTGCCCATGACCTTCTGAAGCCTAGTTATGACAATTTTACTGAGTTTTCGACGAATTCTTAGGTATTTACTGAAAAATCAAATAATGAACTGGGCAATTTCTATAGAGCATATGGATATGTCTTATTTTCTATGGAAAGCGCATTTTTTTTTTCGTAGGAATATTAATTTATAGTACTCAAGAAAAAGATTAATGGGAAAAAAAGAGATATTCGTAAAAGAATATTTTCAATGTAACATGCATGAGGATGCCTTTATCCTAAACTTTTGTCAGAAAAATTTTTATTTTAAAAGTTAACGAATGTCATATCATTTAATATAGATTTCTATGCCGACTCCAAATATGTTCTTATTTTTTTATTTCTAAATACACTTCTGAGACAAAAAAAAACGCAGAAAACCCGTACTTCAGTCCAGAGGCATTTATACATCTGTATGCTAATTGAGTAGATGTGTCAGATAGAGAAAAACAATTTTGTGGAAGTTTCATCGAGTTTGGAACTGTGCTAAAGTGTGCACACCGACAACACTGAACACAAATTTTCAGAATACCCTTAGTTGAGTAAGCACGTATACTTTTCCAAAAGGAAAATTGCTTGAACAGAGTTTTTCATATACAACAGCAGAGCAAGAGTTCTACGATTGATTTTGTAGGTCTTTTTACTTTTTTGGAAATTGAAACTTTACTTTAAGACGACAGAAACTTGGTCATGTTTTGAGTCTAGGATTCTCCCATATTCTTAAAGAGCTAGAACAATTTTTTTAAATCGAAAAATCGGCTATTGACCAAAGTATATCGGACGTTATTTAAATCACAAAAAATACCACTTTCATTTTTTCACCAAATGCCCACGCTGTTGTCCGTTATGGAGATAACCACCTTCCTCTCCTCGCTTCCTCCCTCCCTTGAGAAATTTTCCTTTTTCCTCAGCAAAATTCGAGCATTCTATTTGGTTTTTTGCTCACTGATCCTCAAAAATAAGTTCAATGCCCTCCGAAAATTCTGTCAATTTTAGCAAAAATCTTCCAATCGATTTCCTGAGTCATCAACCTTCCCATCCCAATTCTGGCGACTTCAGTACGCCCGTGGACAGATATAATGGTCCTTAGAAAAATCCTGAAAATTTTTCAACTGAAAAGAATATTCATTTGTCGAGATACTGAATTTTGAACAAATGGTCACTTTCCACAACCATATCATAAAAATCAAGTTTACTTGAAAAACTAAATATGTCGACAAAAGAATATCTCTTTCGTCTGAAACTTTCAGAGTATTATAAGGATCATCAGATCCATCTATAAAAAAATTACAGATCGAAATTCTGCTACTTGAGTTTTCAGTAAATACCTATCAATAAGTAGAAAATTCAATAAAATGATCATAACCCAACTCCAAAAGTTCATTCTCACAAACCATTTTAAGTTTCTTCTAGTCTTACCGAGATTTCCTTGCGGACTCAATATAAGTTCGAACGACGAGTTCCAATTCCGGTCGCTGTGTTGTGAGTGAATCGTAATTTCTTTTTTGTTTGTTTCTATAATAGCTGTGGAAAATAAAGAAATAAACAATGAACTCATTGAACAAGTTAAGGAACTATTTCAAGAATTATTCTCGAATATAACCAATTCTAGTAGAATACATTCAATTTCGACAATTTTTCTCAAATTGAATGATATTTGTCATAATTTGATCACTGAAAATAATTATAGTACCTCGTTTGCTTTTGATATTTTCAATATGATCTTAAAAAATTATATTAAATTACTTGATATTGATCAATTTGTCGATGGAATTCAACATCATGATTCAAAAGAAAATAATAATTTACTTCGAAAATTTTTTGATATCAAACGTCATTATGATTTACAAAAATTAATTGAACAAATGACGATTAAAACTCGACGAGAAATATTTTTCTCTTTATTAGACGAACTTAATTCATCAACACGACTTATTTCATATCTTCAAAATAATATGTCAAATGATAATGATACTGATCAAATACTAATAAATTCTTGTAGTTTTATATTATATGTAATTTTAAAAATTTTAAATGATTTACGAGTAAAAGTTACAGATAATGATTTAGAAAAATATCAAAATACCATTTTAACTCTATTTATTACATTTATTAATGAATATTTCATTAAAAAGGAACATTTAAGAGTAAATGAAAAACATCATGGTACATTAATTAAAGAAATATTACATTTTATTTGTAATATAACTGATAAAACATTAACAATACCAATATTTATTAATATAAATTGTCCACAAACATGTTTACAATGGTTATCATTATCATATTTAAATGGTTATGAATATAAATGTATTATCGGTATTTTAAATAATATTGCACGTCATGATGAAGGAGTAATTGTTCTTAGTAAATCTGACTGTGTAAAGATCGTACGTCAATTCAAGAATGAAGTATTGAATATAAATATCGATTTTATTATTAATAAAGACATGCGCTCAGCGGTTTCTCTACTCTTAGATTTAATTCTTGCCTTAGTTGTCGATCCAGATGAACTTCATGCTGAAGAAATCAATAGTGGTACAATCAATCAAGTATTATCAACAACTAAAATTATATTAAAATCTACTGGATTTCGATATGAAGGATGTCATATATCAGAACTATTTATTGTCTTAATGAAATTATGTACCAATGATAATGTCATTGATTACATTCTTCAACAAAATCAATATCAGACAATTTTTTTAGCAACTTTGAAAACATTTCTATCTGACATAGAAAACGAAAAACTCAATGATGATAATTTTGATATGAATGTTTTAACAATCATGGCTTTAGCAAATATTATCTGGAGTATATCATTTCATGATCGATATAAAAATGAATTAATTCAAAATATTAATACACTTAAGAAACTAGAAGTATTTCGTGAAACTGATACAATAAATTATGTTTTGCCACGCATTTACATACCTCATCAAATGTTATCATTAAGAAGAACAATTGATGGAATTTGGCAAAATTTATTTCCTTCATTACCATCAAAATTAGAAAATAAATCTATTAGTAATAGAAAAATAATTTGTTCACTAATGATTAGTTATTCTCATGTTAACATTGATTTTTGTCGACAATTATATGATGTGTTAAGTACAATACCTCAATTATCAATTAATGTTGATATTAATACTGGTAAATATTTATGGAAAGAAATATCACAAACTATTGAACAATCAGATGTTGTTCTGTTTCTTCTATCAAAAGATTTCTTCTATAATAAATCATGTCGTCAAGAATTAATTTATGTTACAGATATATTGAAAAAACTTTTTCTTCCAATTTTTATCGATCATGATTTTAAGCCAACTGGTTGGCTTCATAAACGAATAGCTCGATTGAAATGTATTCGTTTTGGTGAAATAAATTTTATGAATACTTGTGAAGAATTATTGTCAATGATCAATGAACATCTTTATATGAACATATCTTTAGTTAGAAATTCATTAGATATCAAACAATGGAATGATCAAGAAGTTAAACAATGGTTTACAAAAAATCATATTTTACCTGAATTATATGAATTCTATCAATTTCGAAATGGGAATGAATTATTATTATATGGTCAAGCAATATTAGCATTTCCATGGATAAATGAATATGAAAGAATAAAATTAAGATTTGAAGAAAAATTTCAACAACAAAAACAAAATCTTTCTCAAGATCAATTTTTACAATTGATTAATGCATTAGAACGTTTGCAAAAACAAACTTACTTCAATTAAGATTTTATTTCGGTTGTTTGAAATATTATTTCTGAGAACTATTATTGATTTCATTGATATTATTTATTCGTTTTGTAATTTCTTTTGTCTATTATCTTGATCGAAAGGTTGAATACTATATAATATTTGTTATCTATTTGTTTATAAAGCTATTGCAAAGCTCCTATTCTTGTTCTAAGGACAACTCGATGCGCTCTGTCTAATGGTATCAGCAAAGTTTTCATTGTTTAAACCATGTCTGCAACACAGGTGTTGGATTGAGGTTCTCCTTTACACCCATACTAATACTCCTAGCTACAACCTCCTAGACAAAAATAGGCAAGACTTACTATATGAGTCGTAATTCTTTGAGTATGGGATTATTCTAAAAAAAATGACAATTTTCGAAAGCCGAAACCAATGTTTTTTTTTTAATATAATGAAATACATTATTTAAAATAATGTTTCTCAATCGGTTTGGCAAAGTCTGAGCTGTTTCTCTAATGTTGCTTTTCAAAATAATCCATGTGAAAAATTATGAAATCGTACACGCATTGATTCGAGCTAAGGATGAATATTTATCGTTACTGTCAATGGTAACTATCGCTTGTATTTCGTTTAATATGAATGAAATCGCATGTACTAAATCTCAATGCAAAGAAAGCAAAACTTGA